CATCACATCACCATCACCATCACCACCACCACCACCACCACCACCACCACCATCATCATCATCACATCATCATCCATCATCATCATCATCATCATCATCATCATCATCACATCACCATCACCATCATCATCACATCATCATCATCATCATCATCATCATCATCATCATCATCATCATCATCATCATCATCATCATCATCATCATCATCATCATCATCATCAGCATCATCATCATCATCAGCATCATCATCATCATCATCATGATGGTCATGATCATGATCATGATCATGATCATGATCATGATCATCATCATCATCAGCATCAGCATCATCATCGTCATCATCATCATCATCATCATCAACAGCATCATCATCATCACCACCACCACCACCATCATCATCATCATCACCATCACCATCACCATCACCATCACCATCATCATCATCATCATCAGCATCATCACCATCATCAACGTCATCATCATCACCATCATCATCATCATCATCCTCATCCTCATCCTCATCCTCATCCTCCCCCTCTTCCCCCGCATCCTCCTCCTCCCACCCCTCTTCATTTCCTCCTTCGAGAACATCGTTAGGGAGGGACGAGCATCGTTTGACTGATAACTATCCCGACCAGCGTGGCCTTGGCCTCCCTGGCCGATTTGCCCTACCAGGTGGGGATATGCGCTGTTCCCTGCTGGTCTCGCGCGGCCTATCTCAAACTTTGGGGTTGGGATGGTTGGGTTGAGATGAGTTGGTCCGGTGGGGATGAGGATGGATTGAACTAACGGTAATGAGAGAATGACAGGGGCATCAACTTCACGAGTTCTGCGCGGATTTCTCGGATCGTTGCTGGAGCCCCCATGGCGGCGCCTCCAGCGCCGTCTTTGGGCCGATTCGCGCGCCAAGGAAGGGGGCCCAGCGCCAATCCACGAAATCCGTGCGGATGTCCAGAAGTTCCTGTGCATGTCATTATTTGTTCCTCGACCTGTGAGGTGGAGCGACGCGGTCAAGACCTTCTGCTTAGCGTGTCGCGGCGGCGGCCCGGACAACTGGCTATACCCTGCGGGCCGATAGCGCGTCGCTCCGCCTTGCGGGGCGGGAGGCTCAGGAAAGCACGGGACGCTGAAGACTGGAAACTGGGACGACAATGTTTCGTGCAGAAGCGTGGTGGGCCAGAACCCTGCGGCGCGACAAGCTAAGCCAAAGTTCCTGACCGTAGGGCGAGTTCGTGTCGAGACGACCTGCGTGCTGGTTTCTCGCACCGCATGGTTCGCTCAACATTGAACAGCCGCAATGTTCTGACCGCGAAGGATGGCTCGACACGGGCGACCTGTGGGCCAAGGCGGCGCTCAACCTTGAACGCCAGCAACAAGGTCCGCGCCGCATCGACACGACACGCACGTACCGTATGGTTGGGCCCAGCTCTGGGGGGGGGGAACATAAAATTGCAATCGGCGACGCATCGCCGATAGATCGGCGATAAACCCCCGATCGCGAAACCGCACGTTCCTGGGCGGGGTGGGCAAACAGACATCATCGGCGATCGCTGGGCGATCGGGGGTAGATGCATCCCCCCCTGAGCCTAGTAGCCCATGGCGTCGCCCCTGATTGTATGAGAGTGCGGGGTGGTTCTAAGACGCCTTCTAGGAAGCCCGCGGGACCTTCCAAGAAGCCACCTGCCCTCTGAGGAGCCCTTCACCTTCTTGGAAAGGATATCCCCCTCGGGTGGGGTCCCAGTGGCCGCTCGGGACGATACCCCTGGAGCGCTCTCGGCGAGGCGCAGCTGCTGGAAAGCATCCAAGGGCCAGAAGGCCGCCGAGAAGCAACGAAAACGCATGAATCTCAAGCGTCGTCCTCCACGTGGTGCTCTTCATCTCCTCCTTCTCCTCCTTCTCCTCCTCCTCCAAGGCGCCTCGCTCCTACTGTCTCTTTCTGCTGATCCTCTCCCTCCCCGTCTTCGTCGTCGTCAGCATTCTGATCCTCACTTCCTCCTCCTCCTCCTCATCTTCCTCTTCTTCTTCCCCCCTCCTCCTCCTCCTCCTTCTGCGTACTCCTCGGCGCCACTGTCTCGGCCCGAGACCGACAACACATGGAGCGTAGATCAGCGAAAAACCCTCGATGGGGAAGCCGCGCGTTCCCGGGCAGGTTGAGGGGGCACCCAGGCCATGATCGGCGAGGCAGGGGCGATCGGGGCTCGATGCTCCCCCCAAACCCCTCCTGGGCCTCGAGGCCCCGTCGACGGGGACTTCCTGATAAACCAAAATTTTGGCACGCCCCAGAAAGAAACGCAGCCGCGGGTCGGAACCATTCTCCAATCTTCGCTTCCCCGAGCTGTAGTTTGCAGTCCAGGAGTTTGCAATGCCCTGATGGCCACCCACCCTCCTCTGTAGAGGCCTTCCGAATGGGGTCCCAATAGAGGGGGTCGGAGGATCGAGCCGCAACGCAGATGCATCGCCAATACATCAACGATGCCCCTGAGATGAACCAGCGACGTCGGCGATGCACCGGTGCCCTCGACGTGGAGAAACTCTGGCTGCACATCGAGCCGCATCGCAGATGCATCGGCGGTGCGGCGTGATTCTCCGACCATCTTCAAGGGCAACTCGAGGGATCCTCTCCTGTCATCTTGCTGGCTCTTGCCAATCGAGGATCACCGACTCGAAGCGACGCTAATCGACGCTGCATCAAAGCGAATCGACTCTAACTCTGCGCTTCTCTATCGATTACCAGGCGGTAGCGCACGCTGATGCACCCTGATAGCGGAATTCCGAAGACATACAAGTCTCCGGTGAGTTGCTACCGAACACATCGATCGAAAAGAAACGGGTCTTACGCGAGACGGCACTGGCTTAGGCGGGTCGCCAGCGCGACGCGCCACATTGGAAACGAGGACGCGTCCGCGCGACCTTATGCGGCACACCTACGCGCCAATGTCGGTGAAAACTACCCAGTTTCTCAGCGTGGCTCAATAACATACACCTTCGGAGCTTGGCGCGGATATCTTGGATCGGCGCTGGACCCCCCTCCCTGGCGCGCGGAACGCGCCAGGGGCGGCGCCGGAGGCGCCGACAAAGGCGCCCATCGCCGATCCAAGTAATCCGCGCGGAGCTTCGAAATTGCTGGAGCATGTGGGAGGCCTGGACCAGACACCGCGTTCCACGACTCGTGAAGTGACTACTCGAAGATGGCGTTAGGAAGCCCGCGAGTGTGGGCACTTTGCGTCCATTGGAAGGCGCTCGGTGGTCTGGACTCCCGTGGCCCCTGAGATCCGAGGTCGCAAAAAAATGCGCCATCGTGAAAAAGCACGACCAAAGCCTCGGACCCCGTCCTCCTCCATCGCCTCTCGAGCCGGAGCGATCCGTGAGACCGCCGGGGCCCCGACACGGGGCGAAGACGCCCGTTGAGAAACAACTGCGACGCCAGGATCTCCGGGTCGGGGATCTGGACTCCCAGGCCGTTTGAGCAGGGACCGACCGTCCCGTCATTCCCACAGGCCTACCACGGCATGTTCTTAGAGCATGCGCCCGGCGTCTTCAAGCAAAACGCTCTCGGCCAGGAAGGCTCTGATGGCATCTCGTGCAGACCACACAAGGTTTTGAGGACACTCTTGTTTGACGCCCGAATGGGCACGGAAAGGATGGGCACAATGCCCAACAACAAATGTTGTCCCAAACCAACAGCGGCCGCTGTTGGGCAGGCGGCCTTCTGTCTCGAATGGACACAGGCCGCGGCGGCGTGGACAAAGAATCCTGTTCAAAATGAACAGGAACTGCTGTTGGGCATCGTACCCATTCTTTCCGTGCCCATTTCGGGCGTCCAGATCTTTGGTGGGCCCATCAGCGAGCCGAGACGCTTCGCCGCTGCTTGTCCGACCAGGCGCGCGCCGCCGGCCTGCGTCAGCAGGCGCACCTCTCGGGTCGGGCGAATGGGGGGGATAGCAAAGGGGGGGTTGGAGAATCAGCTCACGTGGCTGATTTTCCCGGCGCCTCCCGGCGCCGGAGGCGGCTACAGTCAAAAACCCTCATAAGGACGCGCGGTAAGGACGCAAGACCCTTGGAAGCCGAAGTTGGGATTTTTGGGGCGGCGGACGACGAAAACCTCAAGGACGCAAGAGCAAGGAAGAGCAAGGACGCAAGGGTACCCTGAGCAAAGTCGCGCGTCCTCATTAGGGTTTTTGACTGCAGCTGATTTCCCCGGCGCCTCCCGGCGCCGGAGGCGGCTACGCATCGAGGAACGGGCCCCTCGGTGGGGCCGAAGCCAGCTGCACGCAGCAGCTTTCGTAACCCCCCCTTTCCCAGCCCCCCCCTTTTTCGTTCGGCCCGCGCCTCCAGGTTGCCGGCGCGGGCGGTGCGCGCCCCCGCCGTGGGGCACGCGCCCGCCCGCTGGAGGTAGGCCGCCGCGCTGCAGCGGCGGCCGCCCGCCGCGCTCACGTCGTTGATGCCCGCACCGAGGAGGCCCTGGCAGGGGTGATGCTCAGAGCGCGCGCGGATGGCGCCAGGCAGGGCGTCTCGTGGCCTGGGTCTTCACCGTAGAAGTGCCCCCAGGATCCCCGAGGTGCCCCTCTGGGCCTCGCGCCGGCGCCGAGGAGGCCCTGGCTCGGTGATGCTCAGAACTCGGCGGTGGACAAACCTCCCTTTAGTAAACCTCCCTTCAGTGAAAACGGCCTGGGACCGAAACCGACGGATCTGGACCCGCAAAAAGGACCGCCACGACGCCCTCCCACGAACCGGAATTGGCCAATTCCTGAATCGACGTGTCAGGGTAGGAGGTCTGTCCACCCCCGAAGCACGCGCGTTGGCGCCAGGCAGGGCGTCTCGTGGCCCGGGTCTTCACCGCGCAGGTGCCCCTGGGATCCCCAGGGTGCCCCCAGACTTTCGCTCCACTCCGGAGCCCCACGGGGCCCCTCTGGGCCTCCCGAGGGGTGCTCTGGAGGCCGCGGGGGGCTCCTTGGGGATCGTAGGGGCACCTTGGGCCAGGGGCGCCTTCAGCGACCAACGCGACATGCAGGATCTCGCCATCCCTCGGACGCCCGCTCCCCGTGCATGCCTCGATCTCGTGCGTGCTTGTTCTGCCACATGATCCGGGGTGCTCCTCAATGAGCGTCGCCGAGAACAAAGCACACGTCCGAGCGATGCCAAGAGAACGCGTGTTGGCGCCGACGCGGGTTTGTCCACCGAGCCCTTCGGTACGACGTGGGCGGCGCAACGAGGGCCGACAGAGGGGAGGCGTGGCCGGCGGAACCGACGCACGCTTGGGCGAACACGCGTCCTGAGAATCACCGACTGGCATGGGACGCAGAACAGGGCATGCTGGGACAACGTGCCCTCCTGAGCAGCGTGCGCCCGACCAGGTCATACAGTACCACTATGATTTCCTTCTCGTACATGCTCACACCGGCGACAAGGCAAGAACACGCCCGCCAACACCCCACGCTTGAAGATGTCTGAGCGAGCGCGCCGTCCGGTCGGGGGCGACGCATGCAAAATCCGCCGATCCGGCGTGTGAGTTTCTGAGAGCGTGGACTTGAGCTCGCTCAAGCTTCGCTCTGCAGGGGGGGGGTGGGGCGTACGTTATTTCCGACGTCATTTCCGACGTTTTTCGGTACCCGGGGACAGGGGGGGCATAGAAAACTCCAATTCCGGAGCCCAGACCGCCCAAGACAGCCCAAGAGGAAGCCAAGAGCCCCCCCCAGATCGGCGGCACTGGCCGGAGGCAAGCCCTATAGAAGCATGCTTGGGCGAAACCGATGGCAGGCCAGCCACGCGCGGGCCCCCAGACCTCGTGCTGCAGTCTTGCGGGGACCTTGTCTGTCCCGTCGCGGCGCCCTAACCCGCGTCGAATCCGTGTCACTCCGTGTCGGATCCATGTCGGACTCATCGAATCCGCGTCGAACACGCGTCGAATCCGCGGCGAGTCCGCATCGAGCCCGCGTCGGGCACAAGACAAGACACACATGTGTTGGGGGACAGGCGAGGTCCCCCGAAGATGCAACGAAATCAGCCCTCCTCGACTCGCGGCAAAAATCACGACGCGAAAGGGGCCCCACCGCCAAACCGTCAGAACTCGGCGGCGAGCGAAGGGGGACAGGAGAAGGAGAAGGCCTTCTCAGAAGGCGGCGGGACTTCTCAGGAACCCTCGCGCCTTCTGAGAAGCTTTCTGTGTCTTCAGGGAAGGCTTAGGAAACTTCTCAGAAGGCCGGGGGACTTCCGAGCCTTCTGGGAAGACCCGCCCCGTCTCACTTCCCCACCAGGCTCGCCGCCGAAAGACAGGACTCAGGATGACAAGCCGGTGCTAGGATACTGGGTAAAGGCCTCTGGGGGTCGACGCTGTGGGCCCTGTCCTCAGGCCTACGGCGACGAGATGTACTCCCCAACCGATTTTTTTTTGTTTTTTTCCCATGTTGCATTTGGAGGGGACGAGCTCCCGACCCGCCTCGCACACCCTGCGTTACCGCGGCCGCCAGGCCCGAGTTGTGCCAGTGCTCGCCTGGGTATCCCAGTGCCCCACCTCGCGCCCTCGGAGAGTGGCGACTGCCTGCCGCGACCGCCGGGCCCGGCGTGCGGGCCCTGCCCGACACTCTTCCTGAGCTCCTCCCGCCCAAAAGACTCGGCAGGCCCAACTGCGATCGCAGTCTGAGGGGTGCGCCCGCAGAATATCTGACCGGCAAAGGACCCAACCAGATGCGGTTGTGAACAACGTCGTTGTATGCACCGCATAAGGAGGAGCTCCCTGCTGGGCCACGAAAGGTGTGAGGGGTGTGCCACAATTCGTCTGGTGGGCGCATGCGAAAGCAGCTACTGGCGCTGTCGGTGGAGCTCCCTATGGGGCCACGAAACGCGTGAGAGGTGTCCCGAAATTGGTGCGGTGGGCGCATGCGAACACAGCCATTGGGACCGGCGGTGGAGCTCGCTATGGTGCCGCGAAACGTATGATGGGTGTGCCGATATTGGTGCGGTGGGCGCATGCGAACGCAGCCACTGGCGCCTTCGGTGGAGCTCCCTGTGGGGCCACGACACGTGTGAGGGGTGTGCCGGAATGGGCGTGCGTGACTCATGCGGGCGGTGGCACTGGGGCCTTCGGTGGAGCTCCCTGTGGGGCCACGAAACGTGTTAGTGGTGTGCCGAACTGGGTGTGCGTGACGCATGCGGGCGGTGGCGCTGGGGCCTTCGGTGGAGCTCCCTATGGGGCCACGAAACGTGAGAGGGACGGGCGGAATGGGTGTGCGCGTGACGCATGCGGGCGGTAGCACTGGGCTGGGGCCTTCGGTGGAGCTCCCCATGGGGCCACGAAGCGCTGTACTGGGTGGGTGGAACGCAGGGAGGAGGGAGGAGGGAGGAGAGGGGAGGGGGAGGGGGAAGGAGGCGGGAGGAAAACGCGGGGACCGTCTCTTCAAAACGAGGACCCAACACCACAGGATGGTTGGGAAAACAAACTGAGGATGCACCAGGCCTCCGTCTTTGTCATACACTGGTGCGTTTCAATCGACGTTCTGCATCTGGAGGCCAGTCCGAACCCGCGGGGTGTTCAATCAGAAGTGTCGTTTTCGGGCCCTGGCGGGGCCATCGGAAGTGGATCAGGGGCGGAAGCTGTCCCTGGGGAAGGGGTCGAGGGGGCCGCGGCAGATTGAGCACTTCGCACCGTCGGATGTCGGGGACCCCTGCGTCAGACTCCTGAAACAAAGGCGGGGGCTCAGACTACGTATATGAAACATGGCTGCAGCCAAAGGTGAACCCCAACAGAGGTGCCCGATCCCCCAGCCTCGATTGCACTCGCAGGGGCGGGTTTCGCTGGTCGCATTGGATGCTTGGGGGGGCTATTAAAAGGAGGATTCGTGAATCAGCCAGCGCCTCCCGGCGCCAATGTATCGAGGAAAGGCGCCTGGCGGCGGAACCGAAACCAGCCGCACTCGGCAGATGTCGTGCCCCCCCTTTCCCTATGCCCTCCATCGAGGCCTCCCAGGTCGGGTCCGAGTAAATGGGGTTTGAGGATCGCGCCGCGACGGCGATGCATCGGCGATACATCGGCGATGCATCGGCGACGACCGCGGTGCATCGGCGACGCCGGCGTGGAGAAAATCGGGCTCCACATCCAGCCGCATCGCCGATGCCTCGGCGATGCAGAGCGATCCTCCGACCCCATCTACTCTGACCCCACCTGGGAGGCCTGAGACTCCTTTCGTCCTGCCCGAGCCAGTGGCCGCAGGCCTCACCGAAGTCGGCGTTTGCGGGGATCCCCAAGGACACGGCCGCGTCCACGAAGGCGTGCGTGGCCTCGTGCGCCGCCCGGCTGTGCTGCGGGTGATCCAGCCTCAGGACGGCTTCGGGCTGCGCACAGACAGCTCGGCTAAACGCCACAGTGACCCTGGGCAAGAGTGGCCTTTCGTGCACGGCCGAAGGGATTGAGTATGCCTGGTTGGCCGGGTCTACAGGGTCGGGACGAGGGGCGCTCGGGAGGCGTGCCACACTCTTGTTCAGTCTGCGCAATGTTTGTGTAGGAGTCACTAGCCGCCATGGGCGACGCGCCGACATCTTTAAAGTTGCACCGACGACCAGAACATCGAGCTGTCCGGCTCATGCGCGCAGACCTCTGGAAAGGCAGGGGGCCTGGCCCAGAAACATGCTCGAGTAAGGGGGGGCGCTTTGGGGACGGGCGCTCAGGCCGCTGCCATCGCATCGCACCCCTGCGATCGGGGGGGGGGGCCCTTTGGGCCCACACCAGCGGTCCTCACGGCGGCGAGAGGCCACTCTTCACGCGCAGCCGAACAGCGAGCCCCCCGCAGGCAGTCCCGGGCGGCCTCCGCTTCCCCGGCCCGGCCCTGCTGGAGGCGGCACCGGGGTGGGGAGACCGCCCCATCGGGTGCGTCCGAGGGCAAGGGCTCCCAACTTCGCGCTTCGCGCTGCGCGAAGTGCGAAGTGCGAATAACTTCGCGCTCTCGGAGAAGAGGAGGACGAGGAGGAATCGGAGCCGAAGCGCGAAGCGCGGACAACTTCGTGCCCTCGAGGGCGCGCCCTTGGAGAGGGGGGTTCGCAGATCACAGCGCGACGAATGTGCGCAGCCAAGGGGGGGGGGGCAGGGCCCGTACTGAAATCAGGAGAGGCGGCCATGCAATCGGGGGAGAGGTCGTGGTCCCGGTCACGAGATTCCCCCCCCCCCCCCCCCGCGGCCATCGCCCCCCCAATTGGGCGCCCCCGACATTCGGGGGCCTGGCGATGCTCTTGGGCGAAACGCGTGCCCGTATCCGCAGTCTCGCGGGGCGGGCCCCTGGGCCGCGACCCCGCGCACACGAGGTGAGCTTTCGCGGATGCCCCCCCGCGGAACGCATCCGTACGACCGCGTGTCCGCGGGATCGCGCCCTGGAATCCAGACCGCGCAGATACGGATATTTTCGCTGCTCGCAAAGGGCCAGCTGGGACAGCCCTTGAGGGGAACTGCCTATGCGCAACCTGCAGCCTTAACCTCGAAGGGTCTTCAAGACGCCCCCTGGCAATAATGGGGAACTGATGAATGTTTTCCGCGGGCTTATTGACGGATTGGGCCCCCATCGTAATAATTGGAAAATACTTGCTCCCCCGCGTCGGCCACCGCACAGGCCTCTGCTGTGGACGACGAAGACAGGATTCTGCGGAGGAGGAGGAGGAGGAGGAGGAGGAGGAGGGGAATGATGAGAGAGGGGAAGGAGGAGGAGGGACGAGTTTCTATTCCCCGGGCTACCCTGGGGGGGGAACTCGTGAGAGGCCAGCCGTGACTGCCCCAGGGGGGAACTGCCCGTGCGCAACTCAGAGCCTTACACTTGCCACCCCGCCTGGCGACCGCGATGGGGCCGTCGGCGCCGTGGATGTCCGGCCGCTCGGCCGCCAGCGGGTGCGCCTCGGCGCGGCGGAAGTGCGGCAGCATCCCCGCGTAGCCCCACGACCTCTGCGGCGCGGCGCGACCGGTCGGAGCCCCACAGGCGGTCGGGTGAGCCTTCTTCATGGGAGCCTTTGCGGACCTCCGCGGTCCTCTCATAGACACGACTCCGACGGGATGTCGTCCAGATTTTGACCACCCCTCTCCACCCTTTTGTCCAAATGCCGTTCAGAATTCATCCAATTGCCCACCACATCCGACGACATCTGGACGAAATCCCCCCTAACCGCCAGGACAAGCTCCCGTGAAGCACAGGGGCGGCCCAAGTGAGCATGGGGAAAGCGGGGTCTGAGGGAAATCGGGCGGGTGTTAATTGGGGGTGACCTGCATGGGCGGTGAAGAGAATGGGCCCTAGAAGGGCCTTTTAGGGCCACTTTTGGAGACAGCAGGAGCCCAAAAGAGGCCGGGCCCCCCTGAGCCTTTCGGGCCCCTTTTCTCTTCACTCCGCAGGTCGGTCCCCCCCCCCATTACCACCCGCCCGAGGCAAACGGATCCTCGGCCCCGGCCCAGGGCCTTCCCCCAGGACGAGTCTTCATCATGAGTCGCCTTCTAGCAGTCTCGGCGGTGGACAAGCCTCCCTTTAGTAAACCTCCCCTCAGTGAAAACGGCCTGGGACCGAAACCGACGGACCTGGACCCGCAACAACGACGGCCGCGACGCCCCCTCGCGAAGCGAAAACGGCCAATTCGCTAATCGACGTGTCAGGGTACAGTCAAAAACCCTACTAAGGACGCGCGGCAAGGACGCAAGACCCTTGGAAGCCGGAGTTGGGACTCTTGGGGCGGCGGACGACGAACACCCCAAGGACGCGAGAGCAAGGAAGAGCAAGGACGCAAGGGTACCCTGAGCAAAGTCGCGCGTCCTTATTCGGGTTTTTGACGGCAGGAGGTCTCTCAACCTCTGACAGCCCTGGGGCCCACGGAGGGCCCCGAGAGCTCCGACCGGGTGGAGCTCCACGGGCCGGGGGGCGAGATGCCGACGGGCACGGCGCCGAGGGCGCGGTGCCGGCGAAGAGGGGAGTGGCCTTGGCAGCGGGGGGCGGGGCGAGGAGCGGGCATCGGCGGGAGGGGCAGGGGGGTCGGGTGCCTGGGGAGGGGGGGGGTCGGCGAGGAGGATCGAGGATCGAGGGGGAGGGGGATCGGAGGCCCCAAACCCCCGAGGAGGGGGGGAACGGAAGGATCGAGGGGGGGGATCGAGGATCGAGGGGGGGGGGGATCGAAGGACCCAGGGCCTCGACCCGGTCCCAGGGACGGGCTCCTCGCCCCGAGCCGTCCTTGGACGGCCCCGAGGCGGGCCCCAGGATGCCGAGAGTGGCGAGAGAGCCCTCCCGTTGTGAACTCCTCATTGCTCGAAGGGGGTCCAGGGATCGAGTGGGAGCAACGAGGGCGCGTGCCCCTCCGGGCACGGGCCCTCGTTAACTTGACTTAACTATACCGACTATCCAAATAAAAAACAGCCACCATGATTTGTATTGAAACCGATTAGCGACCACATCGAAATACCAAAGCTTAAAACATATGGATGAAACTGAATAAGACGAGGGCCCGTGCCCCTGCGGGCCCGCTCCCCCCCCTGGCGGCCCCTATAGGGCCGACAGAGCGAGCTGGGGCCCTCTCGGCCGGCCGGAGACCGGCCCCAGAAGCGCGCGCCCTTAGCCGAGGGAGAGAGAACGACACGGCGGGCGGTGGTCGGCCGCGTCCGGCCCCTGGGGTTTGGACGGGCAACGTCCAGAGGAGGAGGAGCAGGAGGAGGAGGAGGAGGAGGAGGAGGAGGAGGGAGGAGGAGGAGAGGGAGGAGGAGGAGGAGAGGGAGGAGGAGAGGGAGGAGGAGGGAGGAGGAGGAGGAGGAGGAGGAGGAGGAGGAGGAGGAGGAGGAGGAGGAGGAGGGGACTGGCATCGCAAAAGGGTGGCTTTCCCCCCCTCGACGATAGGTCGGCCCGCAGAGGGCTCGGCCCGCGCCCCAGGGCAAGTGTGCCATCCTGCGTCGTTTTTTGTTGGACGGTCCCGCGGCCCGGTCCAGGAGCCCAGAGCCAGGAGTGTCCAAGAATAGGAGGAAAAAGAGGAGGAGGAGGAAAAAGAGGAGGAAGAGGAGGAGGAGGAGGAGGAGGAGAGGGAGGAGGAGGAGGAGGAGGAGGAGGAGGAGGAGGAGGAGGAGGAGGAGGAGGAGCGGGGCGTCCTTCGCGCGGCGGTCTGGGGAGCTGGTCGTGGGCTGGGGCCACGTCCGCGTGTCCACGGGGTCGCGAGCGAACCCTACCCCTACCCCCCACGAGTTCTGAGGGGGAGGGTGGGGTTCACATCGTTCGGGAGCTCCCGAGCGGAGTGAACCCCACTTCCCCCTCAAAAATCGTGGGAAATAAGGGTAGGGTTCGCATCCGGCCCCCTAAAAAACCTCCCGCCGCGATTTCTCGTGACTCGAGGGGGTCTGGGAACAAGGTACAACTCTTGGCGGCGCGCGCCAGTGGGTGGAAGGGCAGCGTGAAGAGGGGGGCCAGGCCCCCTATGGCAAATCAGCACCTTCCTGAGCGGGGCTGGGCCGTCAGGGCCCTACAGGCGATGAGTGGACGATTGGAGGTCGATGTATCCATCTCACCCTATGCCTATCCCCGTGCACGGTGGATTCTACGCCATAACTCGGCTCTCTGGCGGCCCTTCGGGACGATTGTGGCACCCCTGGAACGCCCTCGGCGAAGCGCAGCTGCTGGAAAGCATCCCGAAGTTGGAATACCGCCGAGAACCGACGAAAACGTCCAGAAACTTGAGGCCTCGAACCCGACCCTCGATGCACCCTTCCCTGACCCTATCCCCCTATCGTTGCCCCTGACCTCCGCCCCTTCTCGCCATTGCTCGGAACTGCACTCCGTGCGTTCTGCTGTTCGGTCTCGCGCGAGTCGTTGTTTTGTTGTCGCAAGGTGAACCAACATGCTCCTCGATGGTCCTTGCCGAGAAGAAGTGCACACGTCCGGAGCGATACCAGGCATCCTGAAAAAGGGCGACGCCAGGACCTCATGGCACATCGGCGGCCCGGGGCCAAAGCGCGCTCGGAGCCCTCCTCCATCCGAGGGTGGCGGTTGCGGGTCGACGCCAGACCAGACAGTGCGATCGGCGCGGCCGCGCGGCGCACCTCGCGGTCGATTAAAAGGGGACAGCAAGCGACCACAACCACATCGGCGGCGACCGAAGCTCGCGGGGGACGCGGGATGCGGGGGATGCGGGACAGCAAGCGACGCAGCCCGTTGTCTCGACCCGCCCTCCTCTCGTTTCTATTCTGCTGGGCTAAGAAGAAAGAAGAAACGGCGTAAAGCGGATTTCTTGGATCGACGCTGGACCCCCTTCTCCCATGACGCGCGGATCGCGCCAGGGGAGGCGCCAGAGGCACCGCCAGGGGGGTCCAACGCCGATCCAAGAAATCCGCGCGGACCTGCGAAACTTTATGCTCATGCCGTGTATTCTTCGTCGAAGCTGTCCAACGCCGACCTGATTTTTGTTCGATCTGGCAAGGATTCCTCAATCTCAGTCTCCTAGGGTCTCTCTTGGGCCCCCGGGGCCCTCAAACGTGAATGCGGCACGATAAGCTATGCCCAGGGAAACGATGACGGTGACGACAACGGTGACGATGACGATGGCGATGACAATCCAATGCCCCTGAGATTCACCGGGTGGGAACAAAAAAAACAAAATTTGGGGTCCAGGGGGATACGAACTTTTGCCAGGCAGGTCGCAGCATAAACGCCGTTGAGGAGGATGGTGAGGATGTTGCTGATGATGATGCTGATGATGATGCTGCTGATGATGATGATGATGATGATGATGATGATGATGATGATGCTGAGGGAGAGGGAACGGGTGGGAGGAGCAGATAGTCGTAGTAGTAGTCAGAGTGAGGGGGCCGAACGGTCATTCATTATCCCTGGGTGCGTGGCTGAAGCGAGAATCCGTGGTGATAAATTTGCTTGTTGCGTTGTTGTCGTCTTGTTGTTGTTGCTGTCGTTGTTGTTGTTTGTTATCGTCGTCTCCCCCGCGACCCACCCGCGACCCACCCCGCGACCCCACCCGCGACCAACCCCGCGACCCCACCCGCGACCCACCCCGCGACCCACCCCGCGACCCCACCCGCGACCCACCCGCGACCCACCCCGCGACCCACCCCGCGACCCTTCCGCGACACTTTCGCGACCCTTTCGCGACCCACCCGCGACCCACCCGCGACCCACCCGCGGCCAAGCCCGCGGCCCACCCGCGACCGATCCATATTGGCTCGAAGATAAAATCGGCGCCTGCGGCGGGCTCGTTGTATAATGTGTGAAACTTTAGCGCCTGCGGCGGGTTTCTCCAGAGTCTCGCAGACTGCCGACGTCCCCACCGCCCCCTCACTCTTACCAGCATCTGCGGGGTGCTACGTAGTAGTAATGTTTGTTCTTGTTGAGGTGGGATCGGTAGGAAGAAGGGAGGAGGGAGCGAGGGTGAGGGGGGAGGGATTTCGAACAAAACAAGGCTGCTAACCTATCAAATTTCTTTGGAGCAACCCATCAATTCAGATAGGTTTTCAAATCCTCGTGTGTGGGGGGGGCTTCTCTCGGGCACTTTATGGCGACAGAAAACCCCAGAGGTAAAACAAGTTCGCACGTGGGGGGAGGGAGGGTCGTAGTCGTAGTTGTAGTCGTAGTAGCTGGTGATGTCAAGAAAAAAGATGATGTAGTAGTAGTAGTCGTACTCTCTGTAGCAGCTGTGCCAGCTGTAGCGCTCGTAGTAGTAGTAGTAGTAGTAGTAGTAGTAGTAGTAGTAGTAGAAATAGGAGTAACAGTAGCAGTAGCAGCAGCAGTAGAAGTAGTAGTAGCAGCAGCAGCAGCAGCAGCAGCAGCAGCAGCAGCAGCAGTAGTAGTAGTAGTAGTAGTAGTAGTAGAAGTAGTAGTAGTAGTAGTAGTAGTAGCAGCAGCAGTAATAGTAGTAGTAGTAGTAATAGTAGTAGTAGTAGTAGTAGTAGTAGTAGTAGTCGTAGTAGTAGTAGTAATAATAATAGTAGTAATAGTTAGTAGTAGTAGTGATACTAGCCGGAATATTAATGATAGACGTAGTAGTAGTAGTAGTAGTAGTAGTAGTAGTAGTAGTAGTAGTAGTAGTAGTAGTAGTAGTAGTAGTAGTAGTAGTAGTAGTAGTAGTAGTAGTAGTAGTAGTAGTAGTAGTAGTAGTAGTAGTAGTAGTAGTAGTAGTAGTAGTAGTAGTAGTAGTAGTAGTAGTAGTAGTAGTAGTAGTAGTCGTAGTAGTAGTAGTAGTAGTAGTAGTAGTAGTAGTAGTAGTAGTAGTAGTAGTAGTAGTAGTAGTAGTAGTAAGAGTAGTAGTAGTAGTAGTAGTAGTAGTAGTAGTAGTAGTAGTAGTAGTAGTAGTAGTAGTCGTAGTAACCGTGATAACAGTAGTAGCAGTTGTAGTAGTAGTAGTCGTAGTAGTCGTATTTGATGTCAACGATGATGATAATGACGATGCCATTGATGATGATGCGGGCAAGAAGATTCAATATACGATTCGTACTTACCCCGGTGATAATGAAGTTCGGCCCCGCCACTCCCCACCGCCGACCAAAAATGCATGGGCCGGAGATAATCAACACTCAGGTCTTAAAGAGGGGGATGTCGTATTATCCGTGGCAAGCGATTAAAAAAAGATACTGACGATGATGATGATGATGACGATGAGGATGATGATAGTGCTGATGATCGTGATGATCATGGTGGTGGTGATGATGATGATGATGAGGATGGTGGTGATGATGATGAGGACGACGGTGGTGATGATGACGAGGCTTATGATTTTGCTGATGATGATGATGATGATGGTGATGCTGATGATTACTATGGTAGCGATGATGATGATGAGGATGAGGATGATGCTGATGATGGGGATGATGACGATGATCATCGTCATCGACATCGTCACCACCATCGTCATAGTCAAGTCATCGCCATCATCACCAATCATCGCCATCATCGTCCTCATCATCGTCATCGTCATCGGTGGGACCCGTGGATCGAAAAAGTGTGGCGCGCGCGCGGGCGCGGGCGAGCCCCGGGCTCGTCCTGCATCAGCTCGGCCCAGCGCTGCAGGTCCTCCCCCCGGGGCCCGGAGCGGCCAGCAGCGCACCCCGGGGAGGGCCGGCATGGGATCGGGAGGTGCGTCCTTCCTCCTCCCTCCTCCTCCTTCCTCCTCCTCCTCCTCCTCCTCCTCCGCCGCCTCCTCCTCCTCCTCCTCCTCATCCCCCCGGCCTTGACCGAGGAGCAGCGCTCTCGGATAGAGGCCAACAAGGCCCTCGCTCGACCGCTGCGGGGGCGCGTCGGCGGCGGCGCGTCCCATAGGAGGCCCCCGGCCAAGCAGAACACAAATGGCGCGTCCCCAGGCAGCAGGCGGGATCTCGCACGGATGCTTCCCGCAGGTTGCCATCGCTCGGACGTCCATTCCCTGGGCACTTTTGGATTTCATGCGCTGGCTTTTTCGCGAGATCATCCGAGATGCTCCTCGATGGTCGTCGCCGAGGAAAAAAGCTGCACACGTCCGAGGGATACCAAGCAGACATGCTCGCGTCGTGACAAAAATGGCGGGGAATTGTTAGCCGATTTCGGCACCTCGTGGCGCGGGGCCTCGAGACCGTCAACAAGAACGACTCGGGATGAAAAACGGACCTGGGGGAGAGGCTGGAGACTTCTGGGGACCTCGTGCTGACCATCATGGCATTGCACGCAGTGGACGTCGGGTTTGGGCTCGAGTGGCAAGAAGTGCAAGCATCGGGCTGCATCGGACCGTCGTGATAGCGGGATCAAGTCAGATAAGGCAAGCCAGAAGAGGTGTCGAACCATCTTGCTGCGGATCGAGATAAGCCCTTCCCCCATACCTCCCCAAGACCCCCTCGCACAGTGGCCAAACATCACAACAGAAATATTTGGCCACCAAGCTCCCAGAACCGTCACGGAACGGCCCAGAATGAAAACCTGGTCCCGTGAAAGGGGTCGAGACCTCCGGGCGTTCACGTTCTGAGCAACCAAGCGGTCGGGACGTCGTGGTCCCCCCCTCCCAGCCAGATCCTCGGCGACTCGTGGACATCGTGCCGGGGGTCTCTCGTAGTAACTGCGCTTCCCTCGGCAGCCCGGCGGTGCCTGCCAGCAGGACGCTTCCCTGAGGCCCTCGATGGCACATGCCATGACGCTTCCCCCAGAGGCGCCCGAAGGCACCTGCCAGCGAGCGCCCGAAGGCACATTCAGGTTGCCTTCAGGCTGGACCCGGAGGTGTTTTTCAAGTACCTTCCGCAAAAGGTACTCTGAAGGTACAGTCAAGCCATATAATGAGCATGCGCGGTAAGGGTGCCAGGGCAATGGAAGGCCATGTCGACGCTCTGGGGGCGGGGCGGCGCGGACAGCGAAAGCGGCCAGGGCTGGGCCGAAGGGAAAGGATGCAAAGGGTACCCTTGGGAAAGTTGCCCATCCTTACTATGCGGCTTCACTGCAGTCTCTCAGAATGAATGCTGGATGCGCTTCCAGGATCCTGGGGCCGTCAGCCAACAGCGACGTCGGCGATGCGTCGGCGGCGTCGGCGTGGAGAAACACGGGCTCCTCGATGCATCGTCGATGCGGCGCGATCCTCCGACCCCAGCTACTCGGACCCCCTCCATTTGAGCAAGGACCGACCGTCCGGGCATTCCTATAGTCCTACCACGAAATTTTCTTAGAACCCCAAAAATGTTCGAATAACAAAAAACAATGTTCTTAGAACATAAGCCGGATGTGTTAAAAACAAGACAAACTCCGCCAGACACGTTCTAGGAAAATTTAGTGGAACTCGCAAAAGGTTCGTAGGAACACTGTTTGGTAGGGCTATGGGCACGCTGGGACGCTTCGCCACTGCTTGATCCATGGGGGCCACGGGACTCTCTGACAGCACTGCGCTGACATTCGCTTTTCCCGACCCTGCGCTGATATTCGCCCAGGAACGCGGATTCTGGTGTGTATACGGGACCCTGGTGTATACATTTCTCACTGTTTTCCAATGGAACAGATCAAAACCTATGCACCACACCGCCCCGACGTCGTCCCCGACCCTCAAAACATCCTGGGACCGAAAAACAGCCCACCACTGGTAATGTACACGCTCCAGTTTCCGACCAAAGAGGGCCCGGGGCTCTCTGACAGCACCCTCGCACAGACCCGGCTGCGCTTGCGGACCCCTGGGCATGGGGGCCACATGCGAACCCTACCCTGTACCCCCCACGATCTCTGAGGGGGAGGGTGGGGTTCCCTTCGCTCGAGAGTTCCCGGTCGAAGTGAACCCCTACCCTACCCTTCGAAGATCGTAGGGGGTAGGTAAGGTTCGCATGTGGCCCCCTACCTGGCCATCGTTCGGACGTCCATTCCCTGTGTTTTTTTCGGTTTCGTGTGTGGTTTTTTCACCAAATGATCAACGATGCTCCTCGATGACCCTCGCTGAAAAAAAATGCACATGCCCGAGCGATGCCAGGCTACTGGGGCCGGCGGCCAGCGGGGCTCGGGGCGAGAAGCCGGGGAGCCCGGGGGGGGGGGGCAGGCGGCCAGAGCCCGTCGGGTCGGCGGCCCGCCGCTGCGAAGGGCCCAAGGGAAAGGTGGCCCGCGCGGCGGGTGCCCCCCCCCCCCCGGGCGGACAATGTGGCAACCTGGGGTTGTTTTTTTGTTGAAGATTGTGAGAGATTTGACACTTCGTTTTGGAACAAAAAAAAACTATGTTTAATTCCCTGTAGTGGATTATGGCGGGTTTTGTTGTGAAAATCTGAAGGCTGTAGCTGCAGTGCAGCTCTCGAAAATTAGGAGGAACCATCGGCTGTCCCTCCTCTTCCTCCACCCCGCCACCTCCTCGGCGGCGAGCGCGGGGGGGGAAGCGAGGAGGAAAAAGGCCCTCTCCGAAGGCGGGTTGGAGTTTTCAGAGGCCCTCGCGCCTTCTGGGCGGTTTCTGATGCGTCTTCGGGGGGGGCTTAGAAAGTTTCTCAGAAGGCCCGGGGGCTTCCGAAGGCTCTGAGAGGGCCTTTTTCCCTCCTCACTTCCCCCCCGTCGCTCGCCGCCGACCCTTGGTCTTTGCGAAAAGCCTGGACGTTGATGATGATGATGATGATGATGACGATGATGATAATGACGATGATGATGATGATGGTGATGATGATGATGATGATGGTGATGGTGATGATGATGATGCTGATGATGATGATGCTCTTTCTGCGACAAAAACCACTCTGTGGCCGATCTCGACCACTCGATCTTTGTGTGCCTGCACCCAGGCTATGGCGGCTTTGCTGCGGGGCCACTTCCCAGGTGGTTGAGCGCCCGTGCCCAACTGGAAGTCCACGGCCAAATCGCCTGCGGCACAGAACAAAAATGATGACACACAAATTACTGAAAACGGGAGCTGACCTCAAAGGGGCCAGGCAAATAGCACGCACGCCTGTGGCCGCGACCTCAGGCTCACTCCACGGGCGAATTCACCCGCGAATCGCTCGGGGCCTCCACGGGCTGCTGGCAGCACGAGCGGGAGGATAATTAGCCACTAGAGTACGCGCGGCATCGGCTGCGGCTTCGTCTCAGCGCACTGCGCTACAAGCTCAGGGTCCAAGTGCCCGGGGGCGGGCTTGGCGGGGAAGACGGACCCCCCGATGTGGAGGCACCTGGAGCTGCTGGTGCCGCTGGCATTGCAATCGCCGCCAAGGCCTGGTTCAACTGCGGGCCCAACACACTTGCTGAGATCTCGCCTTGGCGCTTGAACACCGTGTCGCGGGACCCTTGCTTTATCCACTGCTGGAAGCGAGAGAACTGCTCGCTTCGTCTGGCGAGGACGCGCTCAGCACGGCGAACCTCCTCCTCTTAGTCGGGCGAGTCATCACGGCGGCGGCGGCGGTCCCTGTCACGATCACCCCCTTCAAGGCCACGATCGCCGCGGCCTCCACGACGGTCATCGCCGCGGTCGCCCCAACCACGAGAGAGCACATATGGGGCGCCCACCATTGCCCTTCCAATCGCCAGATCCTTTGCCCTTGCCGTCATCGCCTTTGCTGCCGTTGCCCAAGGCTTGATGCCCACTTTGTGCGCGATTGGTGAACCGAACTTGGGATAACCACAACCTCCGAGCACTGAGCACAGATGGCGACGGAGGTAATGACAGCACGAACTTGGTGATAAACGGCATTGAATATCCAAGCTTCAGCATTTCCAATGCAGACTCGGGGATGATGATAGCCATGAGAGCCCGAGACAAACCAGATGACCGAGCGAAAGCGAGTTTGCTAAGAAGTGGTGCCCGAACGCGCGCGAACGGACATGGTAGACGACCAAACCAAGGAATAATAACACTACGATGATCAGAAGAGGCACCCAGGATCCACAACCGTTGTTGATTCTTAAGAGTCCAGCTTAGTGATCTTGCGTACAGACGAAATTCTAAATTCACCCATTCAAAGACTTCACCATCTGGGAGTAAGGAACCTGACGAATACCGAGTCGGACGCCCTGGCGACTGGAACACGACTGATACAGGCTCCGAAAACATGTTTTCCACGCATATCTTCATGCAACTTGTGCACTACCAAAAACTAAAAGACATCACGTCATCGACATAAAGACGCCATTGCAGGGCGGCCTCTAGAGGGGGATCTGGGCGAAGCCCCAAATTTGCCAACTTCACACCACTCTCCGTCATCAGAGGCCCCTCGCGCGCAAAACGAACGGACACGGCGGCGCTACTAATAGAGCCCCCGGCGCACAATCCCAGAAGCTCAAAGACCAGGTTCCCAACGGTTACGAAGCTGCACGTAAGGCCTGCTAGCAGGGCCCTCCGCAGGACCTCCAGGGAAAGGGCCCACCAGGCCCTACTCCAAGAACGCGTGGCAGCCATTGCATTGCATTGCCGTCCTTTCGCAATCAGAATAGCAGCAACACCTGTGACGGCACGAAAACGAGATTCTAACCATAACGAAGCAAGCATCGCATTTTCACTGCGACAACTCTCGAACGCCTGGTCAACGTCGAACGTCAAAACTTGGAATCGGCTGCGCAGCTGGCAGCCGCACCGCAGGCAGCGCCCATCGGGCGCAGGTGCTGCCAACGACTGCAAGTCCGCGCTCAGAACCATCCCCACGTCACTGGTGTTCAGGATCTCATGACCTGCTCCCGAGATTTCCAGAACGGCACGAATAGCACGACCAACGACTTTCCATGACCATGCGAAGGGGATTGTGGACATGTCAATAATTCTGCGCATGCACGAGTGGGTTGGGCGACCGCACTTCCACTCGCAACAATCTGACAAGCACTTTGACTTCGCGAACGGGAAGAGGGTTGGAGGCGAAGGGACTTGACCCAGAAATCCTCGGCGGTGCGTCAGAAACTCGGGAAGGCCGATGCGACCGCGAACGTCACGCCACGCAAGTACATCTCGTGGGCGAAGGTCAGGGTGCTAGCGCCGCAACGTAGCATCGGCCATCATTTGTTGAACAAGATGCGGCCCACTTGCTCCTCGATCAATAAGCCATGCCTTAGTTGCGTCGCGATCGTCCCAGGTAAATGCTCCACGAAGACGGATGATCTCCTGAAGCTGCGATTCCAACTTAGCCCAAGGTTCAGGACGAACTGGGGCAGGGGGGCCTTATCGCTCCTAGTATACGCCGTTGAACGCGAGGGTGTAGCCGATTACTTTACGCCCGCGAGCGCCGCGCACTCTGAAGCGCGCGACGAGGACGAGGAAGCGATGGCCACGCAGGTAGCTTCCACGGTCCTGAGTACGCCGCCAATGTGGGTGACATCGCATAACGACCAAGAGCCTCTGGCGCCACCCGCTGAAAGTGCGAATGACAAAGGCCGCGAAGAACGCGCCCCACGTTGAACTTATCTGCCCAGATTGCGGCCTTGGCTGGGGACGCGCTGACATGCTGACAAAGCCACCGGCGAGCTGGCTCCTACCGAACTTCATTGATTGCAGTTTTGAACAGGAGACGAAGAAGATGCAACCGCCGAACGAGGTTCCGTGGTATAATGACGGGAGAGGTTGATACTGGCGGTAACCCAAGCCGCCCACACAATTCGTTCAAGTGAGCTTTGGCCGCAAATTGAAAGGAGAACCCATCAACACGGGACTTGATTTGACCAGCCAACTCATAGATATACTCAGCCTTCTGCCACAAGTACCACGACAGTGGAAAGACAATCTTGGCGTGCTTCGATGCACAGTAAGCCAATCGCATGTTGAGGTACAGGGGGTTGCGATCCAGCAAGTTGAGCGGGCCGAACATCCCAGTAGACAATGCCATGCACCGAAGATGGAAAAGGTGCAGCTTCATAAAACTGCCACGAATATTTGACGGATGAGTGGCAGGCTTCAATGGCTTCCTCCTTAGAACATCTCTGAAAATCGTCGTAGTCCAAATCGAGAATGTCTTCCGCTGCCAAAAACGAGGAAAAGGCCAGCTGCGAGGCTCAGATCGACCTGGTCGAACTCGGAAGCCACGGCGTCGTCTAGTTTGAAAACGTGGGAAATCTGCACCATTACAGCCTGGGCGTAACATCTGTACGAGCGCGCGCTCAACTGTCAGAGCTTGGAGCTCGGTTGGACACCAAACAACTGGTAGGAAACCAATGCTCCCGAGTGGCTTTCGTAATGATACGTAACGAGGCAGCTCAGAATCACGACGATAATGAAAACCATGCAGAGCTTTGCACTGCTCCCCACAGCGTTCTGGAAGACCTGGGCGACCTTTAGCACGCGCAACGTTGGCTTTACCGGTGTACAGGCCACTGTGACCGAACAACAGATAGACCGCTGCGCCTGACCCAGCAGACTGAAGTAAGTTAGACTGCTGATGCTGAAACCACTCAGCTGCACCATTCTTGATATGAAACGTCATCTCGCTTGGCATCGTCATCAGAACTCGTCGAACCCAACGTGGACACGAGGGCAACGCCAATGAGGTACGAATGTGCGCGAAAGCCATACCTTGAGCGAGGAGTGCCAGAATGATGTGACCCGCGCGACCGTATCGACCAACCCTTAAGTGATCGGGGGCAATTGCTTGCAGGATGTGGAAAAGTGCTTCACAAAGAGCCACTACATCGTTCATCTGAATCCGTCCGACTACCCATTCGGAGACAATGGGTGCTGATCATTCCCCTGGATGCGACAGGTGGGCTCTGACGGGAAGAATCACTTGACTGGCCAAAACACTGCATATTGTGGGCCGTGGCCATTTCACCGAAGTAGGCATCGGAACAAATATAGGCTGAACAGAAACTTGCTGAGTGCTACACTGATGCCCACTCGCGCGTCCCACGCGCACGTCACAAGCGCACGTATAACGAGAAGGTACACCAATGCAACGAACTCGGGCGACAGGTCCACTCGCGCTCCACGGAAGCACGTCACAAACACAGCCACGAAGAGAAGGTACTCGCTGTCGCACAAACTCAACACGTGTGATCTGGACAGACCTGTAGGTAGCTGAATATGTAGAGGACGAAGTAGTGGATGAGGAAGATACCGCGCAGGGTGAACAAACTGACGGCCGCTGCTAATCGGAATGCACGCCAGCCTTGAAATTATTATCTTTCTGCGACAAAAACCACTCCGTGGCCGATCTCGACCACTCGATCTTTATGTGCCTGCACCCAGGCCATGGCGGCTCTGCTGCGGGGCCACTTCCCAGGTGGTTGAGCGCCCGCGCCCAACTGGAAGTCCAGAGCCAAATCGCCTGCGGCACAAAACAAAAATGATGATGATGATGATGATGATGATGATGATGATGATGATGATGATGATGATGATGATGATGCTGATGCTGATGCTGATGATGACGCTGATGATGACGATGATGATGATGATGATGATGATGATGATGATGATGATGATGAGAAAGGCCAGCTTCTCCACAGAGGGAAAGGACAACCCACATGCTTCGGGGCACCCGCCGAGGAGGAGGGCCGGGTGCATGGGGGGAGGAGAGGCGGAAGAGGGCAAGCAACAGAGCGGCCCGTGGCGTGTTCCTCCCCCCCCCCCGCTGTGCGGAAGAAGCGCGCTGCACACCTGCTGGCCTCTGGGGCAAAGCTGGCCATCGCTCGGACGTCCATGCCCTGTGTTTTTTTGTTGGTTTTGCGCGTGGGTTTTTCGACAGAGGATCAAGGATGCTCCTCGATGGTCCTCAACGAAAAAAAAAATACAGTCGTCCGAGCGATGCCAGGAAAAGGGCGCGCGACACTACCTCGCTCCCCCACGAGCGAGGTCCCGAATGTCCTGAATCGGCAGCCACGTCGCGAGTCGCTGCGAACTGGAGGGCAAGCCGATCAGAGGCGGCGGCAGGAAGAGATGCGCGGAGGCGGGATGGGAGGAAACGGGTTCGGGGGTGTGGAGAGAGAGCGGGGGAAAGGCAGGAGACAGAAGGGGGGGCGAAGAGAGACGAAGAGAACGGAGCCTGGGAATCGAGGAGGGCGAGAAACGAACACAGAGCGCGGAGAGACATCAACGAACACGGAAACTAGCACTCGAGGAGAACGAGTTGAGACCATTGAAGGGGCCCAAGGACACACACACAGAAACACACACACACACACACACACATAACAGGATCCCCGGGATCCCCCATCGTTTCCCACATCTTCTGGGTTTTTGTCGTCCCCCCCACTTCCCATATCTTGCCGTCGCTTGGACGTCCACTTCCCGTGCATATTTCGGTTTCGTGCGTGTTTTTGTTTGCTCGATGGTCCAGGATGGCCCTCGATGGTTCTCGCCGAGAAAAAATGCACACGTCCGAGCGATGCCAAGATATTTTCCCATAGTTTCTGGGGAACCGACGATTCATTGCGCCTGTGTGCTTTCTTCCCTCCTGAACCAGGACGGCTCGAGGGCGGTCCCCGACCCCTCCCGGGGCCCGAACGCACCCGTCCTCCGAGCTGCGGCACCGGCTCTCCGAGCTGCGTCCAGCCGCGGCAGTGGCGGGGGCCCTCCGAGGGCCAACGACCGTGGCCTCAACTCCAGAGGCCTCCTAGGTGGGGTCGGAGTACGGGAGCGGCCAAAAGGGGGGTGTCCACGAGGGGGGAGTGCACATCATGACCGGCGGCACGTGCGCGGCCCAGCGGGGGGGACAGGGACGTAATGAGATAAGAAGAGGCGCCATGAAATCTGAGGGGAAATATCATGGCCCACGCCATGATATCTACCCCCCCTAGTCATCACCCCGAGAGTAGATGGGGTCGGAGGGTCGCGCCGCATCGCCAATGCATCGGCGAGGCATCGGCGATGCACTGGCGATGCATCGCCGACGTCGGCGATGCATTGGCGACGCCGACGTGAAGCTAATCGGGCTGCACATCGAGCCGCATCGGCGATGCATCATGGATGCGGCGCGATCCTTCGACCCCGTCCACTCCGACCCCGTCTGGGAGGCCCAGGAACTCGTTCTCCTCTGAGAATCCTGATAGAGAGAGGGGCGGGTCGGGCGCGACATGGGCCGGAGCACCGCGGAGTACCCGGCGAAACTCGCTCTCCTCTGAGAATCCTGATAGAGAGAGGGACGGGTCGGGCGCGACATAGGCCGGAGCACCGCGGAGACCTCCCCGGCCCTCGATCTCGTCGTCCCTCTCGAAGACGCGCTTGTCTCGTTGAGAATGGCGCTGCGAGTACCGCCAGGGCGGGCGCGCCAGGCCCCGCCGGCACGGGCGCGCCTGGCGCGGGGCCTGGGCGCGCGGCGCGCCAGGCTTCGCCAGGCGCGCCGCGCATAGAGCGGCGTAGAACCTGGGGTGATAGGCACACGTTCCACCACCACTCTCATGTCTAGGACGGGGGAGAGGGGAGGATGAGGAGGTCCTCCTCCTCCTCCTCCTCCTCCTCCTCCTCCTCCTCCTCCTCCTCCTCCTCCTCCTCCTCCTCCCTCCTCCTCCTCCTCCTCCTCCTCCTCCTCCTCCTCCTCCTCCCTGTCCTCCTCCTCCCTCTCCTATGGGAGTGGTTGTGGCACACGGGCCCCTCACGGGGGCGCGGAGCCTGGCCGACAGCGCCGCAGGGCAGCCCGCGGCCCTGGCAGGGCTCGGCGCGCCCGCGGCGTCGGGGGCGTCCACGAGGGGGCGTCGCTCCGCGGTTCACGACCCGAGGCGAGTGCGCGGCCCGAGGGGGTAGAAGAGGGAGGAGGAGGAGGAGGAGGAGGAGGAGGAGGAGGAGGAGGAGGAGGGCACGGGCCACAGAGGGGGCAAGCGGACACGAAGCGAGCAAGGGAAACGAAAAGAGAAGAGGCGGACAAGAGGCAACGGGGAAGAAAAGAGTCGCGAGTCCCTGAACACGCGCAGCAGGAAGACCCCGCACTGCCTCTAGTGCACGAGCTCCTGAAGGGACGGTTGCCTTCGAAGCGCCGGGCACAAGCGGGCGCGGAGGGCCTTGCGGAGACGTGACTCCCCACGGAGTCGCGACGAGGCTTTGTACGAGTGGTAGCTGATGCAGATGGCATCGATGAAAAGGGCAAAAGACAGCAGCTGATCATCGGGAGGAGGAAGGAGCGGGAAGGCAGCAGCAAGGGCGGGCCCCCCGCAGGACCCCAAGGCAGGAGGGAGATGAGGGAGGAGGGGAGCAACAACAGCGTGTAGGGTACGACGCTCTAACATGTGAGTTAAAGAGTCCTGGCATGCGGATTCAGAACAAAGCATGCAAGATTTAGTTTGGCCTTTGAAGCGTCGGGAGGTCGTCCATGCATTACAAATTGTGCGCAGAACTGATGCGAAGACGCACGGCGGGGCATTCTTCGCAATTTTGCAAAAAGGGCGAGCAGAAGGTGAACTTTTTCCGCGGGCGAGATGCAACACCAATGAGCAGCACGGGCGAAGATAGTGGGAGTTGGACTGTCGGCGGCACGGTCGAGCAGAAGAGCCTCAGTTTTCTTTTGCAGAGCGGGCGTGCCAAACACTGGGATGGCGGGAATGGCCGACATTGCCTTGAAATTCATCCACACTCTACGGAAGCTAGAGTTCAAATATAGCGGACGACTCTCCCACGCGACAACACATTCATCAGATTCACTGTGCAGGCCAAACATTTGTGTCATGTCATGAAGCACTTTAGAATTCAAAGCAAGACGATGCATGGAGGCACGCGAGGAAGTGTACAAGTTACGGGCCTGGACAGGAAATCCGAGGCCCTTGAGGCTCTGGAGGAGGGTGCAACTGTATGCATTCCGAGGGCCCTCAGTCAGAAGTTGAAGTCCACGATTCTCGTGATGCAGAATGTGGGGATCGGGAACATGGAATTGGGCGACAAACGAGAGGGTCGAAAAGTCGAACACGTTATAGCGAGCGAGGTTTTTCGCGAGGCCGAGGTTCAGAGCTTCGGTGGCTGCAACACGATCAATGAACTTGCCCCCTGGGGCGCGCCAGGACTGGTGCCAGCCATCGAGGCCGAGCCAGACGCCAAGGTATTTGCCAGCGCGCATCAACTGCAACTTTTTTCCTCGAATCCCGAGAGCGCGCAGACGACAAAGAAACTCTGCGTGCTCTGGAAGGCGCGGCCTTTCAATTTGTATGCCTTCGAGCTTGAGCAAGAGGCCAGCAGCTCCAGCCGCTGTGCACCGGAGCGGGAGAGTGACCGACAGCGCGCTGTAAACGTCTCCGCACGCAATGCCAACGTCATTTGCAAATGCACCCAGACGAGAGTGACCAGGGGGGAGACGAGAGACCATGAGGCGGAGGATGGGATCGAGGCAGAGGGCGAAGATGGAGCCAGACAAAGGACAACCTTGTTTGATACCTCGCGTAACCCAGAATCCGAACGACGTGATGCCAGTAGGAAATGCTGACCCAACATTGAGAATGCAGTAGTTTGATGGCCCATCGGAACCTCGGGGGAATCTCCATGAGCCCCAGAATCCAGTGAATATATTCGTGAAGAAGGCTAGGAAAGGGGGCTTTTACACCATACAGAACACACCCATAGTCAGGAATATATTGTTGACAAAGGTAGTGAAACAAGCTGGCTTCCAGTCCAATAATATTGTCAAACATAGAACGCCCCCGAACAAAGCCAGTTTGGTTGTGACAGCATATCACTTGACAGAAATACCCCAGTACATGATTAAGAGCGAGACAGCATAGTTTGTTGCACGTGTTGCTCAGTGTGATAGGCCTCGTCTTGTCCGTGGATCTGTAAGCCTCGAACACGTCGGGCGGTACCTCGCCCTTGACAAGGAAGACAGCGAGGGCGCGGTTGAATCCATCTCCGACGCACATGGAGCGGAAGAGCGCACAGTAAGCACGAAACAGAGTGAGAAGAGCAGGCTCCCCTGCGCGGAGCCAGGCGGAGTAGACGAAACCGTCTGGGTCTGGGGAGGAGTCGCGGATGTGGTTGAGGATGATTCGAAACCCATCGAACGTTATCTCCCATTCAGGCACAGGCGGGGCAGTCTGCACGAAGGGGCGGATGTGCTCGAGCTGGTCGGGCAGACAGGGGTGCCCTAGGTGAACTTCGCCCCAGTACTGCGCTAATCGCTTGGCCACTTCATCAGGGTCGGAGTGTTCGATGCCCTGAGGGTCAGTGATTCCAGCGAGCCAAATGCGGCGGCCTCCAGAGGCCCAGGCGGAACAATATTGGTAAAGCTGGCGTTGGCGGGCCAAGCGCTTAGCTGGCGGAGCGGTGGTGTCTTGCTCAGCATATTCGATTTCATGTCGAAGATGCGCGCGCTGCAAGGTGCAGACATGCTGGTGGAACCCATCGATATCGGACCAGACCAGGAACTCGAGATCAACGAACTTTGCGAGACTCGGATAAGCACGACAAGCACGGCGAACGAGAGAAGACGAGCGGGCCCGAATAGCACGCATCAGGGCGCGGCTCCAGGAGACCTTCTCGGGGTAGGTAGTTGCGCCAGTAGTCTCCAAACGGCCCATCAGAGTTCGAGCGGCGAGCCGCAGAATGTCTTTCGTTTCCTCAAGACGTACCCAGGGATCCGAACTCAAAGAAGCAGCCTCTGAAAAAACGGCTTCGCATTCGGCGGGGAAGCCGGGATGTTTGGAGACCCATCTCGGCGGGTCGTAGACGTCGGGGGATCCACGGGGCTTCGGGGCGAAGGCGAGACAGATAGGGATGTGGTCCGACAGCGACGTGCGATCCGTGACGTTTCCGATGGTCATGGTGCTGGTCTTCAGGTCGAGAATTTCTGCGGTGCACATGCTACATAGAATGCGATCGAGTCGAGCGACAGACACGAGAACGTCATCTTGAACAACGCGATGAGTAGGCATATATTGCATCACTTCGGCGTAAGCATAGAACAACTGAGCCGAATGCCTGACAATATCAGGCTTTGTTGGGACGAGCCGGCCAGAGAGGTGCTGCGAACCTTCGCCCTCCAAGCAGAAGTTCCAATCGCCTGCAATGATACTGAGTGCTTGACACGGTGGGAGTAGAGCACGCGCGACTTGAGAGAGGAAGACCTTCTGGGCGGGAGCGGGGATAGTGGGAGTGTTGTGGATATTCATGATCTGGAGGATGCCTTGGGAGCCGAAGAGGGAAATCAGCGAGGCGCGCCCTTGTCTGACCGCGGTGTGGCGGATCGACTGAAACTGGCGGCAGAGCTGCTCGCTCAGGAGAATGACGCAGCCACCTGCATCCCTATTCTCAAAGAAGGTGCCGAAACCGCGAACGCCGTGAAGCTCGTGGAGGAGGAGAGCGGGTTCTTTCTGGGAGCCTCGAGTTTCTTGAAGACAGACCACTTGATGACGGGAAACAAGTCGTTTTACGATGGCGATTTTCCTCCCGGCCAGGGAATGGTCGGACCAAACAGAATTGAAAAGACGGTGAACATTCCAAGAAACAACGGAGAGCTTGTCAGAAATCTCGAAGGGGAAATGCGCCGTGGGGTCAAGGAACACGGAGGGGAGAGGGTTATCATCTGGATCGGAGTCGGATGAGGTAGAAGACGAAGAAGTGGAAGAAGAAGAAGAACTGCTGCTATCTGCAAAATCTTGTGCAGGATAGGAGACGCGCCCCACGCGTCTGCCCCTGCAAACCCTGCATGGCCGCGCCATGCCCAACGCGCTGACGTGACCCCTTGCGTGCGGGAGAGCTTCCTAGCCGAGCACAGAGGCGGTGACCTTGTCAGCAGAGACCCGATCGATCCCAAAGGTCTGGAGGCCTTCGTACTTCAACTCGAAGCTGCATGAGTCTTCCCCGGCGTCGACGAGCGAAGCGAGCACCTCAACGTCGTCCTGGGCGAAGAGGATGAAAATGATACCACGTGGGCCGTTGCGCCCGAGTCGGTAGCCTTCCTTCCACAGGTTGTTGTCCTTCATGTGGCCGGTGAGAGCCTGCCAGGGGCGACCGAGGGCTTTGTGACGAGCACGAACTTCGGCACTGGCGTCAAGGCGGCAGCTCATGGGAACAGCGATCTTCGTGCGCGGATCAATCCAGTCCACGACATTGTTCTTCATCTGCTGGACGACGTCGCTGGCGTGCGTTCTCGGAGGACGCGAAGCGAATGGAGTAGCTCATCTGCATGTTCTTGGCGGTGACTTCGGCGCCTACAGAGTAGGCGGGTGGTAGCCGAGAAAGAACAAGCTTGGCATGAGCCTGCATGGCGGAGCCAAGAACGCGGCGGGGAAATCCACCGAACCAAACACGGCACTTGTCAGCTTCCTGGTTAGCGGTCATCGGGAAAGGGTGATCGCTGCCAACTACACGCCGCTTGTGACTACCCGCGGTAGAGAACGAGTTGACGGAAGAGGGGCTGGAGCGAGAACGCGATGCTGCTGTCGATGCTGCTTGTTCACAGGCTTGAAGGCGAGCCTCGAGTTTCGTGAGGATGGCTGCTTCCACTGCGGCGGTGATCTTCTCGGCGGTGCCAGTCTCGATCGACGCGATGCGGGTCTCAAGTGCGGTGAAGTGCTCGTCATGCGAGTCGAGGCGGTGCTGCAGCAGCTGCATGTCCTCGCGGGTGCAAACGGTCGAGAGCTTGCTGTCCATGTTGCGGAGGAGCGCCATCATGGTGGAGTCGTCGCCTGGCGCGACGCGAGCGGCAGCTTCGGGCTGGCGGGAGGAGCGTCCTCTCGGAGATGAAACCACGGACACAGGGGCACTGAGGAAACCATTCATGTCCTCGTCGTCACCGTTCGGCGCGGGAGTGCCTTCCTGATCGAGCTGCGCGGCATCTGCTGAGCTGCCATCAGCGGGCGATCCTGGGGTGGTCTGAGACATTGGCACGGGAGGAGCACGGGCCAGCCTCTGAGCTGGCGAAAGCACAAAAACTTGACAGAAGCCTCCGGAGGGGCTTCAAAGCTAATCGCTGATTCTCGGGCGTCTATAGCCCTTCACAACGTTTAGCCTTGAGCCAAAATGGCTACGGGAGGAGGAGGAAGAGGAGGAGGAGGAGGAGGAGGAAGAGGAGGAGGAGGAGGAGGAGGAGGAGGAGGAGGAGGAGGAGGGGGAGGAGGAGGAGGAGGAGGAGGAGGAGGAGGAGGAGGAGGAGGGAGGAGGGAGGAGGAAAAGGGGGAGGAGGAGGAGGAGGGAGGGAGGAGGAGGAGGAGGAGGAGGAGGAGGAGGAGGAGGAGGAGGAGGGGGAGGAGAAGGAGGAGGAGGAGGAGGAGGAGGAGAAAGGCCCCCCATCATACCCAAAGGAGGGGAAGGGGGGGCCAAGGGACGCATTGAAACGACACCTAGGGGGGCCGAGGGACGCACTGCAACGACCCTAAAGGGGGCCCAAGGACACGCAAATAAATACACACAACTCCCAGGATTCCCCTATATTTTTCCATAGTTTTTCATTTTCTGTCTTCCCCCCCACTTCCCATATTTTTCCACATTTGTGCGCGGCCCGGGGGGGGGGGGCAAGGGACGCATTGAAACGACACCTAGGGGGCCATGAAATCAGGGATGAATAGAGTAGGGCCCGAGGCAAGTGCGCGGCCCGAGGGGGGGCCAAGGGACGCATAGAAACGATACCTACACGTCGGTCGGAAGGAGTAGGTAAACACATGAAGTAGGAAGGCGGATTCAGTTGATTGGGTCCAGCCCCCCCCAGAGAATGACAAAACACAGCAAAAGCGAGTCGATTGTTGAAGTAGGAAGGCGCTTGAAGTAGATTGGGATCTGGGAATTCAAAAACACGTACTTTCAACGACCAGCGTGTAGGGGGCCCTGAAATCCAGGGACGAATACGGTAGGGGCCCGACCACGAGACACCATCCCCAAGAAACCCAACCCTGAGACCTCAGGGCGTCCATGGATCTGTGGCGTGGGCACGTCGAGCTTTCCATGGCGGGTCCATGGAAACCCAAGAAGCCCAGGGTGCCCTGGAGGAGAGCAGAGTATTGATTGGCAAAGGCCTCCACTGTATCATGGCTCAGGCCCTGGCCATGAAGTCCCCCGCCCAGCCCCTAGTCATCAACCCCCTCCTGGCCGCCCCCGAGAAGTCAGAGGCGGCGCGCGACGGCGCACCAGTTGCCCGTGTCGAAGTTCGGCGGCCAGCCCGGGGGGGGAAGTGAGAAGGAGCGGGCCTCCTCGGAAGGCTCGGCAGTCCCCGAGGCCTGCTGAGACGTCTTCTAAGCCTTCCCCGACGGCACAAGACCAAAAACCTCTGAAGGCCCGAGGCCTTCTGAGAAGCCCCGCCGCCTTATGAAAGGGCCTTCTCAGACGAACCAAAAGAAGGGCCCCTACCCATTTCGGAGGGAACTTGAGTTGCGAGGGCCTGGACCATTGGGGATAGGGTGCCTTTTCTGCAGATGTGTCGAATCACACCGCCCAGACTTATTATCCCGAATGCGAGGCCAGGGGCCTAAGTGAGTCCACGTTTTCATCGTGATAGTACGGTTCGGGGTTCTTTTGTTCTCGATGACTATCCTTTTCACTTCCCCCCCTCGCTCGCCGCCGAGAAGTAGCTCTCGACCAGCTCGAGCTCGGGGACATGGGCCAGCAGGTCGGGCAGCTCGCCCTCCCTGTACACACGGCGCCGTGGTCGGTGTTACCGTCGCCGCCCCGAGAGCAAGGGTCGGAAGCGAGCTGGAGAAGGCACTCTCGGAATACGGCAGGACTTCTCAGAAGCCCTCACGCCTTCTGAGAACTTTTACTGTGCCTCCGGGGGAGCCGTAGGAAACGTCTCAATAGGCTGCGGGGGTTCCGAGCCTTCTGAGAAGGCCTGCCGCTTCTCACATCCCCTCTGGGCACGCCGCCGACAAAAGCACGACGGGACATGTTTGGCCGTTTGCGGCCCCTAAGAGCCCGCGCTGGGCCCCGAGACAATCCAAAAACGGCTCGGGATGAAACGACGCCAGCCCTGAGGAGAGGGTGGGGACTTCAGGGGACCCCGTCTTGAAAAACTTCAGGGCATCGTATGTCTGGGGCCGGACGAAGGGAGGGAGCGGTGAAGGGGGGCCAAGGGAGGTAGCTGATTTTCCCAAGGCCTCCTGGCGCTGACTCGCCAATGCATCGAGGAAAGAGTGTCGCGGCGCAGCTGCGTAGAGCAGATTCCGCCCCCCCCCCTATCCTCAATTTCCCCTTCCCATGACCCTGGGTCCTCCCAGTCGGCGGTTGCCCAAGGTGCCCCTGGCTCAGGCTGTCCCGCAAATGTCTGAGCTCGGCGCTGGATGGTGGATGCCCCCTCCAGGGGGCGGCGCCAGAAGCGCCGCCAGGGTGGCCCAGCGCAGATATCTCAGAGATCTGCGCAGACCGTCACACGAGAATGGCTATACAGTTTGTCCGTATGCAGAGCACCTGGCCCAGGCCGTGCAGTGGGGGGCAACGGTAGGGGGGACGTGCGCAGAGGAAACCCATCGACCTGCCATCGGCGACATAACGCCAATCGATCGGCGATGGGCCCCTGCTGCCGAGCACGAACGCTTCTGGGCGGGGTGGGCCACCGGGCCCCCATCGGCGACCACTGGGCGACGAGGTGTCGATGCGGGCCCCCGTGAGCCTACCCCCCCCCGGGGCTGCTCTGGTCTTCGGGCCATATAACTCGGCCCTCGGGCGTCTCTCCGGGGCGAGTCGGGCACCCCCTATGGCACGCCCGCGGCGAGGCGCAGCCGCTGGAGCCCGCACCCAAGCTGAGAATCCGCTTTGGACGCTCGAAAGGGGTACGGAAAGAATGGGCACAATGCCCAACAACAAATGCTGTCCCAAACCGACAGCGGCCGCTGTTGGGCAGGCGGCCTTCTGTCTCGAATGGACACAGGCCGCGGCGGCGTGGACAGCGAATCCTGCTCAAAATGAACAGGAACTGCTGTTGGGCAGTGGACCCCTTCTTTCCGTACCCCTTTCGGGCGTCCAGAACCGCAGAGCACCGACGCAACACGGTGCCCCCCGGCGCCTCCGCGAAGCAACCTCGAGCTCGGAACTCGAGAGCCTCGACCACCCGGGTGCCCGCGACAGGACACCCCCCCAAAAGCAGTGACAGACAGGGCAGCAGGGAGGAGGGAGGAGGGAGGAGGGGGGGAAAGCGGGGGGGAGCCAGTATCCACGGCGCTGGGCGCACGCAGTCTGGGACCGGCCCCTTGGAGGGGCCGGCCCCAGGCCGCGGGCTCTCCGGGAGGCCCGAGGCCCTGCAAGGGGGAGGCACCGATCGACCACGGCCCATGGCAGTACCGCTGGTGCACCTCGGCGGCGGCCTCCCACGCCGCCGCGGGCGCGGCGGCCTCCGGGGCCTCGGCCCCCGCCCCGCGGGCGGGCTTCGGCTTGCGCGCGCCCGGCGCGCGGCGGTTCCACGGCACGAGCACGTCCTCGCCGGCGGGGCGCGGGTCGGGCGCAGAGGGGGGGCCATAGCAAACCCAGATGGTCTGGTACCGGAAATTTTCGGTAGCGATTTCGACGCACCCCGAATTTCGGTAGCGACCGGATCTTCGTTTGAGGGCGTTGAAATAGCGGATTTCAGAACGGTCTGATACCAGTATTGGGCGCTACATTTCGGTATTTCGGTAGCGACCGATCTCTGCGGAGCGCTACCGGAAATTTTCGGTAGCGGACCATCAGGGAAGGGGGGGTTCAGAAGCAGCTCACGTGGCTGATTTCCCCGGCGCCTCCCGGCGCCAGGGGCGACTATGTGTCGAGGAATGGGCCCCTCGGTGGGGCCGAAACCAGCTGCATGCAGCAGATTTCGTAACTGACTATACCTACCAGACCACCCCAACCCAGCCCGAAGACCCGAATTTCGGGTTGTGGGGGGCATGGCTTCCATATGTGTTTTCTCGATGTTCCCCGACCCCCCCCCCACTGGAAATGGAGGTCAATTTGAGGCCTTCGGGTTGGGTTGGGATGGTTTGGTGGGTGGTGCGTAACCCCCCCTTTCCGTATCCCCCCCTTTCGTCCGGCCCGAGGGGCGCAGGGCGGGAGAGAGCCCCGGAGCGGGAGTCGAGGAGCCGGAGCTCGGCGGCGAGCGACGGGGGGGGGAGTGGGAAGGAGAATTGGCCTGCTCAGAGGGCGGCGCGGGACTTCTCAGGAGCGGTCGCGCCTTCTGGCAATCGGGGGAAAACAAACCTACCTCGCTTTTGACCACCCTCGCTTCCAAGAGATACCAAACAATGCCAAATTGCGGCCTGTACTGGTCAGGCCGCTTGACGAGGAGGCGCGTGGTATGGCTTGGTTTTGCCTGGAAGCGAAAGCGGGGGAGGTAATTCACGCTCTGAGGCAAGTGTTTCTGGTCTCCGCCGAAGGCTCAGAGAACTCCTCGGAAGGCCGGGTGGCTTCCAAACCTTCTGAGAAGGCCTTCTCCTTCCAGTTGCCCCCCTCGCTCGCCGCCGAGGAGCGGCGACCGAAGTGGACCGCATCGGCGGACACCGGCAGCCGGTTCGGGAGAAGCCGGATCGGCGGAGACCAGCAGGCCGCCAAGGCCTCCATCGAGAAGCCCAGAGCCCGATCGGAGTCCGCTAGGTCGAGTCGAAGCGGAACCGGAGCCGATCGCACTGGAAGCGGATCGAGTCGGAGGGGTCGAGATGAGCCCTGGCGAGGAGCCAAGTCTCCGAAGATCTGGTTTTGTTCGATCTCTGTGCCTTCTGCCGAAAGGTCGGCCTCTGGGTGGCCACTGCTGGGCCCCGGCTGGCCACCATCAATGTACAAATGGATCTGGGGCGGAGAGCTACCCCAGGGGAAGGGGTCGCAGAAACTCTGGGGCTGAACATGGACACTTCTCTCTCTCTCTCTTTCTCTTTTTGTTGTTTCTCTCTCTCTCTCTCTCTCTCTCTAGATACCAAGAATGGCATATATATATATGACATACACCACTAGATACCACTAGATACCTAAAGTGGCATATATATACACACATCTAGATACCAATAGTGGCATACATAGAGATGATGACATATCTGTATATCTGTTTCTGACCGTCGCCGTCCGAATCCAGGGTCCCGAATGGGCCTTCCTCGGGGGCCGCTTTCAGGCCGTCCTGGAGGCCTCCTGGGCCGTCTTGGTCCCTCTGGGACTTCTTTGGGGCCTCCTGGGGCGGTCTGGAAGCTCTGCTGGGCTGTCTTGGGGCCCTGTGGGCCGTCTGGGGCCCCTCCGGGTGCCCCCGTGAAGCGTCTTGGGGCCGTCTTGGGCCCCTCCTGGGCCTTGCAGGGCTCGTCTTGGGGCCCTCTTGGGGTGCCCATCGGGCCATCTGGGTGCGATCTCGGGGACGTCTTCGGCCGTCTCGAGCGCTCTGGAGGCCGAGAAGCCGAGCATGCGAAAATGGCACCATAACTTAAGGGACACGCATAAAGTATAATTCTGCCTCCCGTGAACCTCTTGGGCGTCGTCCTGGAGCTCCCTTGGGCCATCTGGAGAGCCTGTCTGGCCGTCGAGTGGCCATCTGGGACCCATCTTGGGCCATCGTGGGCCCATCGTGGCCGTCTTGGGGCGCTCGTCGGGCCCTCCTGAAGCCTCCTGGGGCCCTCTAGGGCCGTCTTGAGACCATCTGGGGCCGTCTTGGGCCCTCCTGGGGCGCTCCGGAACCAGCCTCTCCGGCCGCACCCGAGGTTGTCCCGGATCGGTTTCTATGATTCAGGGAACGATTGGATTAGTACAGCTCTGTGTATATCGGTATATGTGTGTGTGTGTGCTTACATACGCTTAGATAACAATAGGTATATATATATACATATACACAGCGAGAAAGAGAGAGAGAGAGAGAGAGAGAGAGGAAAAAAAAGGGACAGAAACCACAACAAAAAGAGAGAAAGACAGAGAGAGAGAGAGAGAGGCGGATGCCACGGGAGTGGGGGTGGCACTAAGAGGGCGGCCCTTCAGGAAGCCTGCAGGGGTTCTAAGAAGACGGGTGCCTGCCTCCTCAGGGGCCCCCTCAAAAGCCCTGTGGAAGCCATGACAATGGGCATTCCAATGGTCCGTCCGTTGGATGAAAGCCTAAAGCATGCTTTACACATGCATGGCGCATGTCGAAACATGTTCTAGGCATGATCTGTAGACATCTGGAAATGATTCGGCAACATGCCGCCTCTCCATGAATCGCCGCCCACAAGAGTACAGTCAAAACGTATATTAAGGACGGGTGATAAGGGCGCAAGACCATTGGAGGCCGAAGCTGGGTTTTTTAGGGCGGCGGGCTACCAGTGATAATGGCAAGGACGAGCCTCAGAGACAAGGACACAAGGGTACCCTAGATGAAGGCGCGTGTCCTTACTAGGCGCGGTGACTGTAGAAGAAGCAAAACCACACAAACATAACCTTTTGGTGCTCCGCGCGGACTTCTTGGATTCGCGCGGGACCCCGCTCCCTGGGGCGCGGAGCGCGCCGGGGGCGGCGCCGAAGACGGCGCCTCGGGCGCGGAGCGCCAAAGGTTTGTGTGTTGTGTGGACTTTCTTCTTCGAAGAAAAAAACCCTCGCAGGCCCTTCTGAGAAGGCCCCCCGCCTTCTAAGGCGCCCCTCCCCGCCCTCCCATCAGGCGGCGCCCCTCGCGCCGACCCCCCGGTCCGTGAGCGCGCGCAGACGAGTCAGCACAGACCGGGTGGCGCGCGCAGGGATAACACGTGGAAATCAACCAGGTTCGTGACTGGTTTGTGTTGACTGGTCAGCGCATGTCATGAATATCGTGAGATCGCGGATCTGCCATACCTAAGAGGGCGCAGCAAGTCAACAACAAGTCTGGCAGTAGGTTGCACGAACAAGTTCAACGACCAAACCTGGGTGACTGGTCTGCGCTGGCTGGTCAGCACGCCTATGATACGAGAACGGTGCACATGCGCCGTGCCATGACTGGACTCCCCTCGGGCGTCACTCCAACGCGGTACGGAACACAGTTTTCAACACTGGACAGTGTACCGCTCCTGGGTCGAGGATCGACGACGTCTCGGGCAGGTGGCGACACCCGAGCCCTGCCCCCACCAACCACCTACTCTCCTGAATCGATGGGGGGCGGGGGTAGGGCTCGGATGTCGCAACGTGTTCGACGAACTCCAAGCCCGCCCCCGCCGCCCAACGGGCTGCCTGAAGCTTTGATCGGCGAGGGTAAGGTTCAGACTTCGCCGCCGACCAGAAGACACCAACGCGGTGCGGTGCATACAGATCGTCCGCGGACGCGATGTGCGCACGCCGCCGGAGTCCTGGGTGGGGAAGCGGTGCCGCGAGCGCGACCTCTCGCTGTCCTGCTCGTAGCTCCAACAATACACCAGCAGCTCGCCCCCCGGCCTCAGTAGCCTCGCGGCCTCGCGAAGCGCCTGCACGCGGCGGGGCTCCTGGGTGGAGACGTCCGAAGCCTGCCCCCGCCAGCCATCTTTCCTCCCGAATCGGTGGGAAGCGAGGCGGGCCTCGGATTCCGCCACGTCTTCGACGAAGTCCGAACCCTACCCTCGCCGCCCATCGAGTTGCCCGAATCGTTGATCGGTGAGGCGGGGGTGGGGCTCGGATTGTGTCACGTGTCCGACGAGTTCCGAACCCTGCCCCCGCCGCCCATCCAACTGCCCGAATCGGTGATCGGTGGGCGTAGGGCTCGGATTCCACTCCGAGCTCCGTCGAGAGGTGGTGCAGCACGGCGATGGAAAGGACCACGTCGAAGGACCCGCTCCGGAATGGCGTGCACAAGCAGTCCGCCACTAAGGACGCGGCGCCGGTGGAGTCCCGAGCGATCCTCACGAGCGGAGCGCTGATGTCTCGGGTCGGACGAAGCCCTGAGATCCATGGCGTCGCAATTTCTTCGCACCCAGCGTGTTCGCCCAGCGCCGGGCCCTGGGACCATCACAGATCGACCCGCCTCGGACGATGCGGCTGAAAGATGGGGTGCAGCGCTCTGGCCGTGGGTTCTCACGATCTCCTCCTTTTCGCAACGTCGGCTCTCCAGGAGGGGGGTGGGTAGGAGAGTGGGCTAGCAAATCGGCTCACCAGATGCTGAAACGGAGGCAGCTCAAAATCGGTCCCTGGACCCCTTGATGGGGCCCGAAAGCACCAGCTTTCCGAACTGCATCCAGCTGTTGCGACGAGGGCCCACTCCTGGGAGGCCAACTACCGCTGAACAGACTCGCCCTCCTCTGCCCTGAGATCTGACGTTGCAGCGAAAATGCAATTCTTCGAAACAACAACCAAAACTCCACCGGAGCCCGAGACCCCATCTTGGGCGCCCGAGTTATCCAAGGTAACTCGGGCCCAGGGTAACTCAGGTTTGGATTCCCCTACAACGAACCCGAGTTAGCCCTGATGCGCGTTACCCCTCATGACTTGGGGCTCTGGACGCCCGAAGTCTCCGGGGTAACTCGGGCCCGGGGTAACTCGGGTTCGGATTCCCGAAACACGGGCCCGAGGTAGCCCCAGGTCGGGCCTGTCCCCCTACAGGGGGATGTGAAGCGAAACATCAGCCATACTCCAAAAATGCCCCAAACATGCTCGAAGAATTGGCAAACAAATCGTCCCCCGACTACTCCAGATTTCTTAATAAAAGGGAGGGGGTCTCATTTCGGGGGGGGTCTCTTCCAGGCTGTCTTGGAGGGCCCGGGGGGGTCTGGGGACGATGTTTTGGAGGGTTCTCCCAGGGGGGGGGGTCTAAAACTTCTCGTCTGGGAGGGTTGAGACCCCCTCCCTTTTCTTACGAAATCTGGACTACTTTTGCAGATCCCCCCTGTAGAGGGGCACGCCGGACTTACAAAAAAGTCAGCCCCGACTCTGCTATAGGGCCGCTCTCCGGGGGGCCGCGCCGGGGAGTCCGAGACCGGGCGAAGGCGCCCCGCGCGAAACAGAAAAAGGCGGCGCGCGCGAGATGCGGCGGCGAGCGAAGAGGGGGGAGGTGAGACGAGGAGAAGGCCTCCTCCCCAAGATTTCCTCCCCATATTTTCCTTTATATGTTCCCCCTATTTCCCCCATATACACACACACGAATCGTGGGATTCCCCATAATTTCTCATATTTTCTGGGTTTTCGTCTGCTCCCCCACTCCCCACTTTCTCGTATATTTTCCTGGGAGTCGACGATGAATTGTGTCTGTGTCTTTTTCCTCCTCCTGAGAGAAGGCCTGCTCCAAGGCGGCGGGACTCCGCAGAAGCCCTCGCGCCTCCGGAGAAATGATTGAAGCCTCCGGGGAAGGCTCCGGAAGCTTCTCAGAGGCTTGATGAAGATGCCTCCGGGGAGAAAGGATGGATGCCTCCGGGGAAGGCCAAGGGGGCTTCCGCGCCTTCTGAGAAGGCGCGCGCCTTCCTTTGAGCAGGGACCGACCGTCCCGGCACTCCTATAGTCCTACCACGAAATGTTCTGAGAACCCAAAAATGGTCTAAGAACGAAAACAATTTTTGTTAGAAGATAAACCCGATGTGTTAAACCAAGACAGACTCCGCCAGAAATGTTCTAAGAACATTTCGTGGAAACCACAAAATCATAGAAGGTTCTTAGAACATTGTTTGGTAGGGCTATAGGCGAGCCAAGACGCTTCGCCACTGCTCGATTTCTGACTTCCCCTCCGGGGTGACGCGCCCCCTCGTCCGACCCGAATGTCGCACGCGACGGCGAACCCTCCGGCCTCCCTGGCCGCCGGCACGTTCTTGCCGTTGCCGCACCCCAGGTCCGCCACGAGCGACCCGGGCGCGCGCCCGCGGACGAAGGCCTCCACGCGCGGCCAGGCCTTGTACCGCGTGTGGTCCCAGTGCTCCGCGATGGCGTCGTACACCGCGTGCACGTTGCCGGCTTCGACGGGGCAGAAGAGGGAAGAAGCGGCAGAGGCAGGAGCACTCGGAGGCCCGCACGGACTTCTCGCATCGGCGCCGGGCCCCAGTCCCTGGCGCGCGGAGCGCGCCAGGGGCGGCGCGGGAGGCGCCGCCACAGGGGTGCCCGGCGCCGATGGCGCCGATCCAAGACGTCCGCGCGGAGCTCCGAAGCCTGATGCCCGTGCCGCCGTCTCTCTTTTGGATGGGTCGGTGGCGACGACGGGGGCGAACGGCCCAGGGGAGAGCACTGCGTGTATCCAGGGGCGCCGATGGTCCACGCCTTCGGCGAGGCTCCCTGGCGAAGACGTGTAATGCCCGCCCCTGGGCCATTCGCCCCTATACGGTCGCCTCCGGATGGAGGGCGTGACCAGCGGGTTGGAGCACTCCACCGGCGGCGCCTCCAGGGGCGCCGCGTGCTGCTCCTGGGGGAGCCGAAAGGCACCGACAACGCTACTCCCTGGACCGCCTCCAGGGCGCGCTCAGACCAGAGTTTCGAGGCGAATCCAGCGGCGGCGACGAGGGCTTCCCAGGAGGCCCAAACAGGGGGAAACGTGGCAAGGGAAGCGGCATGGGTAACCGCACCCCCTGGACAACAAAGGACGCCCCCCCCTCATTTTTGGTGTGCGGGCGGGGGCGGCGAGGCCGAATTTGATTATCACCGGACCGAGTACCAATCGTAGCTGGCATATTGGCACCATGGGGATAGCATTATGATCAGTATCATCAAACCTGTAATTCTATGATACTACTTCCCAGCTTTCTTGCTCCGGCCATCCCTCAGAGGACGCTCCTACTACCACGGCTGCAACTACAACTACGACGACTACGACGACTACGACGACTACAACTACTACGACTACTACGACTACTACGACTACTACGACTACTACTACTACTACTACTACTACTAATAATACTACTACGACTACTACTACAAGAACAACAGCAACAACAACAACAACAACTACTACTACTACTACTACTACGACACCGAAGACTGCTACTACTGCTACTACTACTACTACTACTACTACTAATACTACTACGACTACTACTACCATTACTACCACTTCTACTGCTACGACAACGACTACTACTATGGCAACAACAACTACTACACTTTCTACTGCTACTACTATTACAACTTTTCTTATACTACTACTACTACTACTACTACTACGACTACTACTACTACTACTGCTACTACTACTAATACTACTACTACGACGGCTACGACTACGATTCCTAAATACGAATACTACTACTAGTACTACCATTACTACTACTACTACTACTACTACTACTACTACTACTACTACTACTACTACTACTGACTACTACTACTACTACTACTACTACTACTACTACTACTACTACTACTACGACTACTAAGAATACGACTACTGATGCTACAACTACTACACCTACTACTACTACTACTACTACTACTACTACTACTACTAGTGCTACTACTACTACTACGAC